ATAACAACAGACACAAATCAAACACATATATACAGTACAAAATTGTCTTTCAGACGCGCTACAAAATCGCATTCTAAATGATACAACGAACCAATAGCGCTCAAGATCCTCCCAAGTGAGAAATATGACACGAATGTGAAAATGAGCTCTTCTAGAGAGAAAACAAGAAATTCAAAATTTTAAAATGAAATTTCAAAAATAAAGTGTTCACCAAGTGAATTCTGGCAACCTAACATACCCAACACCTCCCTCTTTAATAACGTACGTTCCTCTGGTCCACGTGCATCTTGATCATCTGTTTCCATTGTCGAAGTGATCACATTCTGGATGGTAGATCGACTTGTCGTTGTGCTCCTTTCTGTGTTGAGACTGCGGGAAGATTAAAGGTAACTAACGGGATGTCCAGCGGGAAACTTCCCTCGGTCGAAGGGCGAACCGGGGCTAGCCGCTTACGTAGCTGGTTCCGGTGTGCAGTCCTCCCATCTCTTTCCACCTCTACCTCGTACATAACTTGGCCTAGTTTTCTGACCACATGTTCTCCAGGGACCATGATTTGGTTTGTAGTCCCGAGAGAACACCGGACATCCAACCTCGTACGTTGTCAGCTCCTGGGACTTGGTCTGTGACGGCGATGGTACAGTTCTCGGAAGGACCAGATTGTAGATCGTTCCCAATTTTCTTCACATGAGGATCTCTGCCGGGGACTTCTGCTCCGGTAACATATCACCAGGTGTCGTTCCGTAAGTGAATAAGAGGTTTTGCAGTGTTTGCACTAGCGTTCCCTCCACTTTAGACTTGACTACAGCTCTCTTGAATGTATCCACAAATCTTTGTACTTGGCCGTTTGATTGTCGATGGTAAGGTGGAGAGAGGAATTGCTTGATGGTTAGCTGTTGGCAAAAATCTTGGAATCCAGTTGAGATGAACTGCGGACCATTGTCTGATACAATTAGATCCGGTGACTTATTGCGATCAAAAATCTCCGTCCAGAGATTTTTCGTTTCGGTAGTCATTGGTGGTGTGATGTGAACAATTTCTGGCCATTCTGAAAAGGTGTAAACCACGACAATATAGATGGTTCTATTACGTGAATAGGCAAAATTGACATGTATCGTGGGCCAGGGATACTCAACCTGTGGACATGAGACCGGCGGCACTTTCGCGTTAAACTTCGCCGCATGCATTTACCTAAGAAATCCATCAAATGTATGGTCTATGAGGGGCCAATAAGCATAGCTTCCGACAATGAATTTCATTCGTTTTTTTACCAGGATGGCCAATTCGGAACAAATTTAGCACCCCTGATTGTAGGAACTCTAGCACAACCACTCTATCTCCAAACACCAATCACTCATTCACGACACATAATAAGTTCCGACGGTGGCAAAGCTGCCTCATGTCACCATCGAGTCTATTTGACGGCCAGACATTGATGACGTAGTTCATCGTTCTATTAATAATAGGGTCGCTCCTGCAGGCAGTTTGTATCTAAGATGCTGAGACTGGCAAGGAACCAACAGCAGTTGTCAGGCGACAGTGTGCGTGGTCTTCTGTTATAAGGAAGGTAATAACTATATCTTCGGAGGCCGTAGGGTGTTCGCTGATAAGTCTGCTTAACCAAAATGTTGGGCGCGCCGATACTGAACATCGTAACTTTAACCCAAAAGTATCAAGACCGATAGCTGGATACGGTTTGCAAAGTGAGCTAGAATACAAGGTTTTGAACCGAAAATTGTGAGAAGAGGACTGTAATCAATGAGAAGAGTAAACCATTGACCGCTTTAGACATTATATAATTCTTACTAATCAGATGATAAGAATAGGTCTTGTACCTGCCAAATAATTCTTTTTTTACCCATGTCAGAGCAACTTAAAGAAAGGAAACGAATTCAGAAGCAATGTTCGAAAAATGCCGTATTGAGATGTTTGATTTTCAACCGATTAAACAAATTATAGAAACAAGTACTGTAATAAGTATCGTTCATAACCTCAAAGAACTCCTTCGAGCGAAGTTTGGACGCAAAGTGAGCCTTGATATTAAACATTTAACACAACCTGTCGGTCATCTGTCTGGATATATGTTGATATGAATGTGATTCATTAATATATATATACTGTACCCCTGCTTGTTTTCACATTCCTGCCACTACTTAACAGCACCGAGGAACAATTTTCACTCATAGTTGAAGCTCGCTAGGTTAGATTGTTTTTTATTTTATCCCAGGTATATGCAACTAATCTAAATCATTGAAGTACTTCGGGCTACCTTAAATAACATCGATAAAAATTCCATACTGAAAAGTGATTAAACTGATAAGCAATCGATAAGGTAGCTAGAGCAACACGACAATTAGAAGTATGAGAATCTATCTGCCAACTGAGATTTCCCAGGGTAGTGAAATCTAAGACATAGAACTTGGTTTGTACTGGACGGAGTTAAAATGAATTTGTTATAAATATAGAATCAAAGGAATCATCAGCTAGTATAAGCATTCAAATCAAATAGGTTCTTTTTATACTTATTTGGAAAGATTTTCGATCCTTTATTCATCCATAGACTATGGGGTAACATGACTGTAGTTTAGTTTTATACGTTCACTTTATTGCACTTTATAAAAGCCGCTATTTTTAACTTCACTTTCCTGGTGAGTAGACTTGTTGGGTAATTAAGTTAATAATGCGATTTTTTCGGCCAAACGTTTGCCACAATTGTCCTACTTATGATCATTCTTAAAACTTTTGCCGTGTTTCCGTACACTCTATTTACTTTAGTAAATTCATTCGTATTTGATCATTCATTATCATCTGAAATCGTAACAGATGCTTTCAGAAGCGTGGTATTACTTTACAAATACTCCAAATTTGGTGCCTTGTAAGTGTCTAAACGTTCTATCTGTGCCATTTCGGGGCATTTTTTGCATATTGAAATCAACTAACTGGCGCGTTATCAACATCAGGATGATTATTCATAATCCTCTTTGATTTTCATATTCATGCTCTTTGTTGATTAAACTATGTTTCATTTGATGCCTTGGTAACTAGCTGGTATAAATTAGACCAACTTTGAGTATAAAATCCGTACGACAGACTTATTGTAGACACATAACATTCTTCATCAGCACCCAATAGGTTGACTAGTAATATAAATAGCAGAAAAATTAGTCAATTTTTCTTAAGGGCTTATTTCAGAGATTTTCCGACTGTTCTAAAATAATTGATTGTAAACTTCAGTTATTTTAACAGTTTTAGCGGTCTAATCCATACTTTCATCGTTTGACTGTTATCTGTTTTTATTATATTGAAGATTCCCGTCGTGCAGTATATAACCTATCAGCATTGTTTACACTTAAATTTTCCCTAACTTATACTACAGTATACAATTATATCTATGTATTTGAAAAATATTAAATCATACTATATTAAGAAAGGGTGAGACTATAATTTGTAGATGACCTTTGAGCGACACCTTGGTGCTTCGAGAAAGTCCACTTACTTACTCAGGCTAAATGAGGTTTAGAAAGCAGTTTGAAAAATAAGAATTATGATTTACAACCGTTGGTTAGGGTTAGGCTTTCGTCACGAACTGACCAGCTAAAATGCCAAAGCGCTATTTAGACAAATGGATGGATCAATTTTGCTCTAAAATCCAAGATCTGTTATCTTAAATCTGACTGTTTTGTCCATAAATTATAGTCTCGCCTAAGGCAGTGATAACCGTGTCAAGACACTGATTCGAGCTTTGATTATCCTTGTCACGACTAGTACACCTGTCATATTATTATCATCAGTTTTTGCTCTCTACTTATAATGTTTATTTGTATGATATATTTCATCGTTATCATTAACTCTTAGTCCCTTGGTTGCTTTAATAATATGTATGTGCATGTGAATATTATTTTATATAAAAGACTTAAAGATCTGACGGAAAATACTGTTTGTTCATGCGTGTTGTTGTAGTGCTTCTATTATCTATAGAAAAGATGAAAAACATAACACCAAAAACCAGCAGAATGTGGGAACGGTCTTTAGGTTGTTAAGTGAACAAACCTAATACTGATTATTAGGTAATATGCAATAACATGAATTGTCCGAATGATGGCTTCGCATGAGGTCGGATTAATGACAAGCCACCAATTGAGCTGATATTAGAAGCCAAAACAGCCTCCCAGTAGAATAGATGTTCTTCTTTTAAACAATAACACATATACAAATATTAAATACAAGAATAAGAATAATTAAAGATGACTTCAAGCATAAGCACTTCAAGGCTATAACAACTAAAGGTCATCCACTTTAATGTTGAACTACCAGCCTTGGTTCTTGCAACTGTCATTTGTACCTTTATTTCGAGTAGTAAAAAATAATAAAGGCGTAATGCGCATTTGTTTAACAATTTTTTTTTACAATTACTCATAGTTCAATTCTAAATGATCTGAAATTAAACAAACTGTTGATAATTAATTGGTGTAGTGGTTTGATGATAAAAGCTGGTAACATTTTTGAAACACTAGTTTGCAGTTATGGGATATTCACTACACCCATGTTGACTTAGAAAGACGTGTTGTATGCTAGTATTCCATGCTTAAAATATATAACTCGAAGTCTTGTTTGAATAAACTTTTGTATGATTGCTGATTCGTGTAAACAGTCTTTTGTGATACTAATTTCTTTCCTAAAAATGACTAAATGCACTAATTGAAAACCGGTACTTTGCGTTTATCAAATTTGAATTAAGTGTTTGTATACTTTCTTACTGTAATTATATGTATATTAATAAGCTAGTAAAAATATACAATTATTTTTTAAACTCAAATCACTTTACTTATATTAGATATTAATTTTTGTTGGAATTCGGTTATACATAACATGGAAAATGTTCTAAAAATGATATTTCTACAACTGATTTGATAAAAAGTTTGCTCAAAAAATATTCCGCAAGTATTTATTGACCTGAATATGATTTATTTATTCAATGTACGTAAATTATCACAAGTTTCAACATGTTTAATAATGAACATTGTCAAATGATAATTAGAAATGACAACTGTCTACCTAAAGTGGAATCTGTTTATGGTCGAAATTGTATAAGTCAATGTAATTGTTCTTTTGGTGCACAAACAGCAACATTTAATAGTATGAATACAGAGTTGATCAATTCTGGAAGTTTGCAAAATGATAGTACTACTATGCTAAGTAATACTATCGTAGAAAATTCTAATTCAAATATATGCATTATTCCAGCTAATAATTTAAGAAATTCAGAATTTCCACAAACGTTGAATACCTACCATCATCAACATCAAAATATTGCTCAAACATTCAACTTATCTACAAATTCTGTTCAAGATCTTCATATACCAGCGGTTTCACAATCTATTTTTCCATCTTCTATCCCAACAGTTATAGCAGCAGCGGCGGCGGCAGCTGGGGTAAATTCTGCTAGTGTACCCCTTTCTTCATTGTTGTTTCATCCCCAAGGACCTTACATGTTGCCGAATCCTTCTTCAACTAATCTACCTACCGCTCATCTACAATCTGTTAATCCTCAGGTATCGAATATACCTTTAAATAATGACTACAAAGCTATTTCGCCGTCGAATGTGCTAGAAGCAACAACAACAACAACACACAATCCATTGCCTCTTATAACTAGTAGTATTGATGGGACAATAACAAATCCTATTAAAACTCCTTCGAATTCTCAATCGACTGGTACAAATAAATTATTGAATGAAAATGGTAACTATTATGTAATGGTTCATGTTGATGCTGGAGAAACATTCTCAGTTCGCGTAGGTGACCAGATTCAACACATACCTGGTGAGTAAAAGATGGTTTTCATTGCAGTATTACAGAATCGTTTAAGGAATTTTTAGATTAGTGATAATTAATAAACATAGGATCTGTTAGATTTTTCTTGCATTTCTAAACGGTATTCAAGTTTTAGAGTTGTGTTCTAAAAATAAGATCTTTATAGAATAGATTAATATAAAGTGCGTTACATAAAAATCCTAAGATACTTATTTCCATTCTTGAAATTTCCCTCATGTTAACATTAATCACCGAGCTCAGTGTAATTCAGTAAAACAAATGTTTTGAAACGATTTAAATATCTCAAACCCGATAAATGTTCTTTGTTTTACTTCTTCGTAGATAGCTTTCCTATTTGAATTTTTAGTATTTCTAAGCAGTATAGTTATTCAATTCTTTTAGTGTCTTAATTTTACATTACGATGAGTTACTCTCAATCTTTTTTTCTAGAATCAAACAGATATTGACTTTTCATCTGATAAATATTATCGTAACGTTTCTGTCATTATTTTCTTTCTGCAAACAGTTGAAGTGTAAGAGCTGAAAATCTAAAACACCTCAGCTAGATTCGTAATTAAAGAAACGTAAGCTAATTTCAGAACGATAAGGGTACAATTACTCTATTATAATGCTATCTTGTTTAGTAGGGTGCTTTTTACTTGTTCTTAAATTGATAAAAAGTCTAAATAGATTAATAAAAGTTTATGTGGTCGAATCTGAACCTAGTCTCCTATTTAGATTTTACGATGTTCATCAAGAGGTAGATTCCACTATCCCATCATGATTTTGAAATACTTTAGGATATCATCACTAACAATTGCAAATGTTTCTTTACCATAGTAACTTTGTCTTCATTTTTTACATCGTTCTTGCAGTATTTTTTCCTCTCTCCTACTTAAATTCCATCACTTCTTTAAACTTCATAACTTCATTTTTTTAACTGACTGACCTTAAATCATGTCATTGTTAATTGCTATTAATTAACGTTCAAATACTTCATTATACAGTCAACCAATTATTTTATCTCAGTTACTTCTTGTTACTATGTCTGATAATCCAGAATGTTCTCTCACGTATTATATTTATTTATTGCATTTCATATGTCTTCAAACTCATTAGTCCGCCATGATTATACCTATTCACTTTTTACTTTTATAAGAATGTGAACTTTACAATAATTCTGATCTTTCAAAACATATGTTTTAAGCCATTGATGAGGACCTTACGAAATAAGACAAATTCATGTCATTCTGTTTAATTCTTCTTTCTTGCTTTATTCAACATAATGGCTTGTTCTCGTGGACTGGTGGGTGTGGGCATACCACTAAGCATAAGAGCGGAACAAACACTATTACTGTGGATCCCCGTTAACAATCGTCTATGTGCTGTTCGGTTAAACGGCTCCGTAAGAACTCAGAAGGATAGAGACACGCGTCGTTGCCTTTCTGTCGTTTCTGCCTACGCTCCCATCGACTGCAGCTCAGATGAAATGAAAGATGAATTTTACAGAAAGCTCTCTGAACTTCTTCAGAAAGCTAAACGTTCAGACATAGTACTCGTCAGAGGTGACTTTAATACCCAGATAGGTAGCTTAAACCAAACACAAAGACATTTAAGTGGGTATTTTGGTATTCTGGAACAGCGAACAGATAATGGTGTTCGTCTGCTGCAATTGTGCTCAGACAATCGTTTATTATTAGCAAGTACTAATTTTAAGCATAAGGAGAGACATCGTCTAACATGGCGACCCCTTGCACCAAACCAACAATGGAGTCAAATAGACCATATTGCCATCAGTCATCGTTGGAGAGGGTCGATAGAAGATTGTCATTCACTCTAGAGTACCTACTTGGACTCCAACCATGCCCTAATACGGGCACGCATCTGCTTGCGTCTCACTGGACGCAAAAAGGCCTCAGTAAAAAGACTCATTAGAACTGGATTGAGTAGCGAGAAAACCAAAAGTAGGTTCCAGGAACAACTGAGGTCACACTTAGGTAGTTCTAAAAACGAGGCTGACCAAGATGTTGCTTGGAAAGATATAAAAGTAGCTGTGGGAACAGCAGTGACATCTATTAGTGGTTTAAACCACAGGGTTACAAAGAATCAATGGATTTCTTCAAAGTCTATTGCACTGATGGATTCTCGTAAACTCATCCCATCAGGCTGTGAACACGATAAAGAGCGTAAACAAATCAGATCTAGGTTAACCAAAAGTTTAAGGAACGACCGTGAGCAGTGGTGGGCAACGAAAGCAAAAGCGATGGAAAAGGCGGCGACTATAGGGAACACAAGACAGCTTTATAGACTAATAAAAGAAACTGGAATTAATAAGTCAAGTGTAAGTCAGACTATTTCGGAAAAAGACGATACTCTCATCTACTCCCAGTCCAGACGTTTAGAACGATGGGCGGAACATTTTAGGGAACAGTTTAGCTGGCCTTCAGCGACTCTACAACTACCCTCCATTCTCAGACAGTGTGAATGGAACATTGAATTAGGTTCCCCAACTGTAGCACAAGTACAGAAGGCTATAGTTAATCTGAAACGAGGAAGGGCAGCTGGTCCAGATGGATTGGCTCCAGAGGTCTTTAAGGATGGTGGTCCAATTTTAGCGATTAGGTTGACTAATATTTTAGCTAAAATCTGGGAGTTGAACCTAATCCCATCTGACTGGTCACAATCACTCGTCGTCCCAATATATAAGATGGGGTCGAAATCATACCTCAGAAGTACATAAACCTTATGAAGGCTCTTTACTTGAACACTACTAGCCGTGTCAGAGCTTATGGTGAACTGTCATCTGATTTTGTAATCTCAAGTGGTGTCCATCAAGGCTGTCCACTTTCTCCATTTCTGTTTAACTTCATCATAGACCTATTGATGGAAATAACATTCTCGTCTACTGAATTCTCGGGTATTGATCTCCTTCCAGGAGATCCACTTGTCGACTTAGAATACGCAGATGACATATTCCTGTTTGGTGAAGACGATGATAAAATGCAGAGTCTTCTGGTCGCACTAAGCAACAATGCCAGAATGTTTGGGATGCGCTTCTCTCCCTCTAAATGCAAGCTGCTGCTCAACGACTGGTCTGCTTCAACACCTGAACTAAGGATAGGGAGTGAAGTAGTCGAACGCGTTGACAACTTCACTTATCTTGAAAGTCTGATCAGCCCTGATGGGTTGATGTCTGACGAAATCTCAGCACTGATTCGTAAAGCTCGTTTAGCTTTTGCCACCTTACGTCACCTATGGCAAAGGCGAGACATCTGGACGAGTATACTGTACGATAGTTCGTTCTGGTTTACTTTACGGATGCAAAACGTGGCCAATAAGAGTAGGAGATACTCGTAGAACATTAGTATTTGATCACAAATGTCTTAGAAATATTGTTCGCATCTGCTGGGATCACCGTGTAAGTAATAGTGAGGTTAAACAGGGCATTGGGAAGTGAGGGTAAATCAGTTGATGAGGTTGTGAATCTTCGTTGACTGAGATGGTTGGGCCACGTGTTACGTATGCCTAAACATCGATTATCACAATGCTGACTAGTGTAGGGGATGGTTGAAAGAAAGTTAAGGACGGCCAAACAAAAACGTGGCATCATTCCACAAAGTCACTAACTTCTAGTCTGAGCCATATTGTTAGATGAAGACTACTTGGTTGGGGTTCGCATGACTATCGTAATCATTGGTTGGAGACTCTGTGTGATATGGCTCAGAATCGATCATGATGGCGTAGGTGTGTATACACTCTCTGCCTTCCCCTATACTATGAGATTAAAATCGCCTCATATCTCTCTTTCTACGAACTAATTCTTTCTTCCCGTACTATATCCTTATATGCAATCTTCCTTTTATTTTATATATTACCACCATTGAATTAACCACTTCTATGAATCCGGTGTCCATCTTGTTGTGTTAATGAGGTATGGCAACTTGGACCGATGCATATATGTGTCTGGTCCTACGTTGTAGCTGATTGACTGACTGACTGACTGAGGGAACTAAATATATAAAACATTTTAATAAATTGAATTCTCTACAACAGTTTTATGGGTAATAGTTTGTTTATTTTTTTTTCTTGGAGTATAATATCACAGAAAATTCCTTTATGTTTACACCGCTGTCCCTTTGTTCATTGACACTGGTGTTGTTGTATGATTTTTTCATCGTTGAAAATCCGAAACCATTACTGACCAAATCAATACTGGTTTTCTGCAATAACATACAAACAAAAATTCACTATAATTCTCTATATATATACAGATAGATTCTCTACACATGTAACTAATAAACCATTTTATCTCACACATATCAACTGAAAGTGCTTTTTTCTAATTATGTAATCAGATATGTATTCGAGTGTTAGTCTACTGATTGTGTTCTGTATACTTGGTACTTGCAACATGAGGAATTCCGGAGATTGATTTAAACAATGATCAGTGCTTTCATTAAGATATCAAATGTAGAATATCAAAGTAATGCTATACAGGTTTCTAGCATGAATCTGTAAAAAAGATACGCGAATTAAAGTTAAATGAATGCTTAAGTCACAAGAGCAGTTGAAAGAATGAGATCTCTGTACAGTGTATCTTTAATATAATCGTAGTACGTCAGCATAAGTCATTCTCTAATCTGCAAACTGATTATTTCACCAAGAAATATAACTCTACCTGTGTTAGCCGGTTTTCTATTTTAAATTTAACTTTTTATTTTCATTAAGTTGGTATTGCCGTACGCCCTATACACAAAAACTCATTTGTCAGATATGAACCGAGAGTAAAAATTCGATTAACTCAATTTCTGGGTGAAAAGTTTTGTTCATTTGTTTCTTCCTTAATATATATACTGCAGATAATTAATTTATGCTGGAATTTTACTGTTCTCGATTTCGTTCCTGCCTATTCATTTACATTTTTACATCTTATATGTGTTAGCAACTCATTTACCAGATAGTAGTATTTCCCATCGAAAGGTGTACTGAAGTAGATAAATTCTGCTGAAGCTGTCTACTGAATACTATTGGTCGGGTTAGAGCTTATGGCAATCTTCAACGTAAATTTCAATTCCAATTGATATTTTTTCGGACTGTTCACAACCTTCAATTTCGTTACGCTTCGTTGTAGATATTCTTTTAATGGGAGTTCTTTATCCCTCTAAAATTTTAGGGATTGAAATTGCATTGACTACTTTACTTATCATGACAGTTTCACCAGCCCTAGTGGGTTGTGAAACATAGTTTATGAAAACAGAAAATATATGTATGCTAACGGCTGTTTACCATAGGTGTTTTTGAAGCATTGCTCGTATGTATTTGAACCATTAAATAAGTAATACTGAGGTTTATACATAGGTTACCAGGTAAAGATGATGAACTGTTTGATGGAGCTGTGAATCTTTATCGACAGAAGTGGGTAGGACGTGTTACGCATCTCTGACCGCTGCATACCTCGAGACGCGATGATGGATGGTACAGGAATAGGTTGGAAAAAAAGCTACTGTTAACTATTGATGGAGGTTCACACTACCACCGTAATCAACAGTTTAAAACAGATGAAACGACTAAAAATCGTTCACAAAGGCGTTTCATTTGCATGTACATCATATTCTATGCTCGTTTTTTTATTTTGGTTTTATATTTTAGATCCCTAAGTCAAAAATTAAAAACCCCAGACTCATCTATTAATGTGTAGTGAAATTAGTACGATATCATTCTCATTGGTAAATCAGTAAATATATTCAAGGTAGATTAACTGGATCTCTAGAGAACATTATCAAAATTCAACAAACTATTTTGTTACAATGCTATAAACTCATGAATGATTCCGCGTATTTGTAAATTTTAAGAATGTGTCCAAATGATTACACGTACACTATTAACACTGATAATTCTCTAGTGATTTACCATTTTTATTATTTAGAAAGTAATTGTTAATTTTAAGGTAATACATTTTAGAAAATCTAAGTTCCCACCTGCTTATTATAAACCAGCCTCCAACGATTAAAATGAAAGCTCAAAAGATTTATTGTTTCCCTAACCGGTCATTATATGATCTGAAATACACTGGTAGTTATGATGACTTTTTGAAGTATCTTTGGATAACAGTCAATAAGTACACAAGTTTCAAGGTGCAAGATTCAACTTTAACCATACAGTTTAAAAATTTCAAAATGCTTTAGAGAAAATCTTTTGTTTAATCTGATTTTTATGAATACTTTAAGAAAAAACTGAATTTTCCAACAGTGTTACACAATTAAAATAAATTGTTTGATTTTGAACATTTTGAAAAAAGTTGGGAAAAAATTGTTTTCAGAAGGGGTTTGTGGAAATTTTAGAAATTTCACAGATTGAAATCATGAGTCAATTGAAGCTGAGGAGTGCCATACTAGGACGAAACGGCCGTTCAATGCTTCCAGGTTTTCCATGGTGGTCTAGCTTCAATTGACTCATGATTTCAATCTATGAAAAAATTGTTTGCTTTTTGTTCGAACTTCCAATAATATCAATAATTTGTTCGAAGTAGAGCAATCAAAGGGATATGATATAAAGTAACAAAGAAAATAACCTCATCTAGAAACACAGTGTTCATATTTTCATTATCGAGATTTTATTATCTATGAATTTTCAGTAAGTCATACATAACGTAGAATTTGGCACATGTGCATCGATTCAAGTTGACGTACCACATTAACACACAGTGATAAAATTATTTTGAGACAAGTGGCAGGATAGTAAGAGTAGTAGCAGTACCAGTAGTAGTAGTAGTAAAGATTAGGTATGAAAAATGAAAAAAAAAGTATAAGATTTCGGAACTTAAGTTTTAGGGGAAGACAAGAAATAAATGTACCTGCTTCATTGCTACCGATTCGGAAACAAGTCACTTAAATTCTCTAAACATTGGTTACGATAATCACGCAGACCCAACCCAGGTCGTCTATACTTATTAACATGGCTCAGTCCGGTTGTCAGTTACTTCATAGACTGATGTCACTTCTTGATTTAAGGTCTTTTAACTTTGTTCCAACCTACTTCTTCACCATACATTTTAATGGACTTGCTCCTTCAGCCCTCTTGATTCACCTTCTCCAACGTTTAATCTTTCTCATTACTGATAATACTTCAGTTATTTCTACACTTGTTATTTATCATGTTAATTCCATTTCATTTCATTTCATTTTACTAATGTGATATGTCGACTTGGGTTAATTCTTGTCTATACTAAGCTCTACGTTGGTAATGACTTAATGATTTAAAATTTGTGATATATAATAACGTTTACCTTATACTGTATGAATTGTTTGGAGGTAAGATTGTTACCATTTACTACTATGCAACTGAACAAATCATATTTTTGTAGTCAGAGTTTTAAAAGTGAGAAGATGAAGCTGAAACGTCAATCATTCCAAAACTCATTCACTAGGTACTTGAGTATTAAGGTTGATGATACCACCCGGTTGCCAAAACTGAATTAGATGGAGTGGAGTTCGAACCGGGGGCATTAAAAATATAAACTATGAATTGCAACTTTTAGGATTGTTAATAACTGAATACTGTGCTTAATATTATTCACGGATTACCATCATTTGGAAGTACCATTGAGACTGGTGAGCACTGGATAGAATTTTCATCTTTATGGAAAGGACTTCAAATGCTATGTTCAAGCTTCTCAACTTTTACTACCAAACACACCAAACAAAACCGATTTAAAAACTACTGACTTCATTCATTTCTAACTGTTTATCATAATGATTTGGTTGTTGTATCCTTCCAAAGTAAAATATAAATATATTTCACCATGTGATATTTTTCATAAACTTCAGGTCCAGCCACAGTTAGAATGGTTTCCAATAGTGGTCCACCTTTACCTATGCCTATGCAAGTTCCTCCTGGTCATTTGGTTCAACAAATTGTTGATGAAGAAGGAATTCTTACTCATGTCATTCTATCACCTTATCCTACTCATCCATCATTGTCAATGGTTCCGACTGGTGTTCCGTTGTCACTTAGTCAAACAAACGATGTTTCAACAACTGGTACAAATTTAATTTTAAATCCTAATCAGCATTTACAACCTCATCACCAACATCATCATTTTCATCCTATATTACCATCTACAGGTCTACCAAACAATGAAAGTTTAATCCATATGAATCCATATGCACAACATCCTCATTCGATACATTCTTTCCCTCATTCTCTTCCTACGCATCCACCACCATTTATTCATCCACATTTTCAGCATTTTCATCAACAATTTCATCTACATTCAACACATCCACATGTATGTGTTAATGAAGTCGGCAATGATGGTTCTATTTCAACGAAATATTCAATTACTCCTGAAGTTATAGATGAAATAAATCATTGTGATGTGTCAACATGTAATTCACCGTGTTTAACTATCAACAAATCATCCGATTCTTCGTTTAATGATAATAATAATAGTAATAATTTTAACTTGAAACAAAATGTAATCAAAGAAATTCCAGATTCAACTACAATGAACTATAATAATAATACTAGTAATAATAATGCTGATCATCCCATCGATACACGCTGTGATCGTGTTGATACACTGGATGACCTACATCCAATTATTAGTGGTTGTTGTGGTATGATTGCCAGTGACTTAGATAAAATGTCATTTTTGAATAATATTGGTAATAATAATAATAATGATAACAATAAAAGTCGAAAAACTTGTAGTCCAGATTCACTCCCAATGATTGACTCCTCATCAAACAATGAAGTAAAAATGGTTAAATCTTCCGAAGTAAGTTCAATATTTGTTTATTTAATATTGATGCTATATGGTGAAAATAATGATTAGATGTAGCTCATTTTATTTATGTTGTAGTTTTTCATTAGATCTACATTGCTTTTTGTTGGTGAATTCATTATTTCCCAAAAACTCGACGTTTATTAACCAAAAATAAATGTCTTCATAATTCCTACTTTAAATCTTGAACCTAGCGCGCACTGTCGAATCAGGCGCTACAAAGCCCGGATCTTGGCAAATCGGTTGATGGTGTAGTGTAGTCAATGATTTCTATCTTGAAAATTCATTTCATTGAAAGATAAAGAGTTTTATGCTAACGTGTAAACAGTAAACAGTTTTCGAATACTCCTCTTCACGTTTTAAAAAGGTATATCCACGTTTATTAGAATAATAAATCGTCACAACCTAGCAAATTTAAGTGTCGCTGCAAGAAGTTTTATCAGTGGATGGACCACTAAGAAATCAAGATAAAATAATGCTAATTAGGTTTTCCACCTATTTAGCCGTGAAAACTATCTAGAAAAGAGCAAAGATGACTTTATGATAAGTTTCGTGGCTTTTTAAATCGTATAACTTGTAACATTAATTGGGTTAGAATTGGGTTGGTGTGCACGGATTTTTCAAGGAATTCAGAAGTTCGTGTACCGTTCACGGAGCTTTTCATTCCTTTCAATCCTTAAAGTTTCATGCGAACACTATTTAAACAGTCTCAGCGTATGCGACTACATGTAAACAATACTTATTTCTTACCACTTATTTATTTTTACAGATTATAACTTGTCAAAAATTTTAACACTATCATATTTAGTTTATTAGTAAATCAAATAAATTTAACTAGACCGTAAGGAGTTTACATTGATTTTCACAATACACATATGGTAAGTGAACTAAGATTACAAAATCATACTGTTTGTTGTGATGTACTTGTAAAAAAGATGAATATGATAATATTGTTATGTAAATTTGAAATGCTAATTATGTATGTTACTCTCAACTTGATACTACTCTTCGATTCGATGGTAAACTGAATAATTATCAGCTATCATATATATTGTAGTGAACAGAACACGGGTGGGGACAATCGAATGTACTTAACATAAAATTACAGGACTTGTTAATAAAATCTAACAATCATAAAGTAAATGCTTAATTTGCAAAATGTCCACCAATTGTCCAAAAATGACTCAGACTTCATTGTTTTTGCATTTTCATACAAATTGCATCCAGTTTCCATTCTTTACTGTTCGATCCTCTTGTCTCTCTGCTGCCAGACCTTCTGTTCACAACTAACATCATATACTACTCATGTGAATATATGTAGCACACACCACAATATTATTAGAATAAATTACATGACTGCGAAATTCAGTTTGTAATGGTTTGAGTTATTCTTTGGCACTCTGTAATTAGGTGGGCAAAATGATGGCTTTTGAAGCAAATGGTGCTGGGTTTGAGTCCAGAAGTAAACATCATCTCTGAGGTGCAGGTACATCCAACTGATGAGTCCCAAATAGGATAGATGTGCATCGTGGATTCCACTGCTTGCTACTTACGATCTATTCTATATCAACTTATGACTGGGAGCGTTTTTCTAGTTATTACTGCTCACTCTTAAGTTAATATTACTAACCCATTTATTTCCTTAAACATAATATTCAATACTATATATATATATATATATATATATATATATATATATATATATATATATATATATATATATATATTTCTTGTTACAAATTACAGCTGACTGGTTATACATATATCTACATATTGTACAGACAAGGCATACACGTTTGGGTAGCCGAAATTTCAGTGTCTACACACACATATATACACTGTTTTATTGCACATATCCAACAGGCTCCACGCTTCAGAGACTTAAACAGTATTGTTACTATAATGTACTCAATTACACATCACATGCTTGATGTGTATGTCAGACACGAAGTAGATATGAGGACTATATTCAAAATAACTCCACTCTACATTGGTTTAGAAAGGTTATAACAATTAAGAGGTTGACATTTAATTTTTGCATTGAAAATTAGTCCAATGACTAACCTTCGAATTCTTTTCGGTTACATAAATAACTACTTTTTGTAAAATCTTTTAAAAATTATTGCTTCAAACATGTTTAGTTCAACTTCAAAAGTTTTATCATTCCCTGTGCTTTTTCATAATAATAGTAGTAACTTTTCCGATATATTCTACAAATATCCTTATAATAACTGATTACTTACTTACTTACTTACTTACACCTGTTACTCCTCGTGAAGGAGCATAGGTCGCTCACCAGCATTCTCCATCCAACCCTGTCCTGGGCAATACTTTCCAGCTCCTTCCAGTTGTAATTCATCCTTTTCATATCTGCTTCTATTATCCGACGTAATGTGTTCTTTGGCCTTCCTCTTTTCCGCTTCCCTTCAGAATCCCAAGTTAGGGCTTGCCTCGTGATGCAGTTTGACGATTTGCGTAATGTATGTCCTATCCATTTCCATCGTCTTTTCCTAATTTCTTCTTCAGCTGGAAGTTGGTTTGTTCTCTCCCACAGAAGGCTATTGCTGATGGTATCCGGCCAATGGATGTTGAGTATCTTGCGTAGACAGCTATTTATAAATACTTGTACTTTCTTGATTGTGGTTGTTGTAGTTCTCCAAGTTTCAGCTCCATACAGTAGAACTGCCTTGACATTCGTATTGAAGATTCTGACTTTGATATTGGTTGAAAGTTGTTTTGAGTTCCATATGTTCTTCAATTGTAGGAATGCGGCCCTTGCTTTGCCAATCCTCGCCTTTACGTCTGCATCTGAACCTCCATGTCTATCGACGATGCTTCCCAGATATGTGAAGGATTCTACATCTTCCAGAGTTTCGCCATCAAGAGTGATTGGATTGCTGTTCTCCGCTTTGAATTTGAGGACCTTAGTTTTCCCTTTGTGTATGCTGAGGCCTACTGATGCAGAGACTGCTGCTACACTGGCTGTCTTCATCTGCATCTGTTCGTGTGTACGTGATAGGAGGGCTAGGTCATCTGCGAAGTCCAGATCGTCTAATTGGTTCTGAGCTGTCCATTGTATTCCGTGTTTTCCTTCAGATGTTGAGGTCTTCATAATCCAGTCGACCACCAGAAGAAAGAGGAAGGGAGAGAGTAAACAGCCTTGTCTGACTCCGGTCCTTACTTGGAATGCATCTGTCAGCTGTCCTCCATGCACTACTTTGCACTGTAGTCCGTCGTATGAGTTCCGGATAATATTGACAATCTTCTCAGGAACTCCGTAATGTCGAAGAAGTTTCCATAATGTCCTCCTATCTACACTGTCGAATGCCTTTTCATAATCAATGAAGTTGATGTACAGTGACGAGTTCCACTCAACTGATTGTTCGACGATGATCCGTAGTGTTGCAATTTGGTCTGTGCACGACCGATCCTTACGGAATCCAGCTTGTTGATCTCGAAGTTGGGCATCTACTGCATCCTTCATCCGGTTCAGCAACACTCTGTTGAAGACTTTCCCTGGTATTGACAGTAGTGTGATGCCTCTGTAGTTTTCACATTTGCTCAGATCTCCTTTCTTTGGAATCTTGATGAGGTGTCCTTCTTTCCAGTCCATTGGCACTTGTTCCTCCTCCCAAATCTTTTTGAATAGAGGGTAAAGCATGCTTGTGGTTACTTCGACGTCTGATTTCAGTGCTTCAGCTGGTATGTTGTCGGGTCCTGCTGCTTTCCCGTTCTTGATTTGTCTGACGGCCATTCTAATTTCTTCCGTCGTTGGTGGGTTGACATCTATAGGAAGATCTGTGTGTGCTGCTTCGATGTTCGGTGGATTCATTGGAGCCGGCCTATTCAGGAGTTCCTCGAAGTATTCTACCCATCTGTTTCGCTGTTGTTGAATTTCGGTGATTGGCTTGCCTTCTTTGTCTTTGACCGGCCTCTCTGGTTTACTGTATTTCCCTGATAGTTTCTTCGTTGTATCGTAAAGCTGTTTCATATTTCCTTCTCTAGCAGCTTTTTCTGCCGTCGTTGCTAATTCTTCCACGTATTTCTTCCTGTCGGCTCTAATGCTCCTCTTCACTTGCTTGTTTGCTTCTATGTATTCAGCTTGTGCTTGGACTTTCTCTGCTCGTGTTCGGCTGTTGTTAATTGCTGTCTTCTTGTTCTTCCTTTCTTTGATCTTGTCCAGTGTTTCTATAGAGATCCATTCCTTATGATGGTGTTTCTTTAGGCCCAGAACCTCTTGACACGTTGAAGTCAATGTTTCTTTGATGCCTTTCCAGTTGTCCTCCATGGTAGTTTCTTCTTCCTTCAGTAGATCTTGAAAGGCTTGGAACCTGTTGTTGAGAGCTATCTTGAATTCATTGAGTTTGTCAGTATCTCGAAGGAAGGCTGTATTGAACCTTTGTAGTGCTGTTTGTCCACTTGTCCAGTTCTTTTTTAGCTTCAGTTTTAAATTGGCTACAACTAGGTGGTGATCTGAAGCTACGTCAGCACCTCTCCTGGTTCTCACATCTTCCATTGTCCTTCGGAATTTTTTGTTGATGCAAATATGGTCTATCTGGTTCTCTGTAGTGTGGTCCGGTGAGATCCATGTAGTCTTGTGTATACGTTTGTGTGGAAATATTGTGCCTCCTATGACTAATTTGTTGAATGCACACAAATTTGCAAATCTTTCTCCATTTTCGTTCCTCTCTCCCAGTCCATGTCGTCCCATAATATCTTCATATCCAGTGTTGTCTGTTCCGACCTTGGCATTTAGATCTCCCATCAGAATGGTGAGGTCCTTTCTTGAGCATTTCTCTATGATTGACTGCAGCCGCTCGTAGAATTGATCTTTAATGTCGTCGTTGCTATCATTGGTGGGTGCATAACATTGGATAATATTCATTAAGATCCCCTCCTTCTTTGTTTTGAATGATGCTTTGATGATTCTGGATCCGTGGGATTCCCATCCTACAAGTGCATTTCGTGCTACTTTGGACAGCATTAGAGCAACT